GAGATTAGGTAGAGTTAGAGGACTAAGGATTGAAACCAAGGAATGCCTACATTTAAGGAGTAGGAGGAAAGAGGAGAAAAACAGCAGTTGAAGAAAGTCGAGCAAGAGCAATCCAAATAGGAGAACTAGGGACGCCTGGCTGGCGAAGTCAATCAAGCGTTTGACTCTTGGTTTTGGCTCAGGTTGTGATCTCAGGGTTGTGAGATCCAGCCCTGTGTCAGGCTCTGTGCAGAGTCTGCTTGAGGTTCTCTCTCCCTCTCCCTCTGCTTCTCCTGCTCATGCTCTTTTCTTCTCTCTCTCTCTAAAATAAATCTTTAAACGAAACAAAACAGAACTACCCAGCAAACAGAGCATGATGGATTCCAAAGAAAGAAAGAGCTGGAAGAGGAGTGGTACAACATTTCGAATGTGGCAAGAGCTGAAGAGTTTGTGGGTTCTGACCATAGGTGGCCAATGATGATATCACTTAGCTAACAAGAAAGTAATTTCAAGGGTGGATCACAAAGGGTGGAAAAATAAACGAGTGTTCAGGAAGTAGAGTGAGTGCAGATCACTTTTTCAGAAACACTGATTTTGGGTTACAGGAAGAATTAAGAAGAGAAGCCAACTCAGATGGAGGTAGCGGGTTTATTAGGAAGTGATCTTGAGATCACCAGTAAGGGAAGGGAAGGAAGCAAATCTGCACAGAAGGAGAAGCTGGGCTGTGACATAGGACAAAGGCTCAGCCAACCTTCAGAGCTGTCCCTCGTTGGGATGAGAAGGCTGAATCTTTATACTCCCACGTAAATCAGTCATTCATCGTGGGCTGCCTGAGAAAGGCGCATGACAGGACAGCTGAGGGCCATCTGCCAGCAGCATTCCCACTTCAAACAGCTGGAGTCCTAAGTCCTTCATTCTCAAAGGGGGTCCTGCCTGTGCATTCCAGCGTTTATCACAGGAATAGCCTTACAAGGCTAACAGAAGTCAAGGGAGGAATATTTTTAGGATTGGTAAGACTCAACTTTAGAAATAGATACATAAATAGAAACAGATATATCCTAATTATTATTTTGTAATGCCCTGTCAGGCAACATGTCAGCCATAACATATTAAAAAGTGGGCTAGGGGCGCCTGGGTGGCTCAGATGGTTAAGCATCTGCCTTCGGCTCAGGTCATGATCCCAGAGTTCTGGGATCGAGTCCCGCATCGGGCTCCCTGCTCCTTGGGAGCCTGCTTCTCCCTCTGCCTCTCTCTCTCTTTCTGTCTCTCATGAATAAATAAATAAAATCTGTAAAAAAAAAAAAAAGTGGGCTAATTCATACATTTATGAAACACCTCCCATATATTTGGCCTTTGTTAGCAGCAGATGTACAAAGATAAGATAATCACCCCTATTGAGAAGTTTACAATTTATTATTGTTATTTTTAAAGATTTTATTTATTTGACAGAGAGAGAGACAGTGAGAGAGGGAACACAAATAGGGGGAGAGGGAGAGGGAAAAGCAGGCTTCCCGCCCAGCAGGGAGCCCGATGCAGGGCTTGATCCCAGGACCCTGGGATCATGACCTGAGCCAAAGGCAGACGCTTAACGACTGAGCCACCCAGGCACCCCGAAGCTTACAATTTAGTGGGAGAAGAAGAATGTACAAAAACAATAACCCGGTAAGGGGCTATGCTTATCTTATTTGTGCTTGTATCTGTACCACCCCATGTATGCCTAGCACATAGTAGGCTCTCAAATATACACAGAATGAGCCAGTGGTAGAGTAAAATAAGAGGTCCTTGGGTAGAAGACAAAATGTAGGGCTAATACTGCCTGGAGGAGTCGGGGGGGGGTATATTTTAAGGGAAGATTAAATAATAATAATAATAACAATAATGATGATGTTTTCCAGATAAGGAAGGGGAGGGGTGGGAGGAGTTAAATTCCAGGCAGCTGTTTCAGGGAAAACAAAAGCACCAAAAAGAATACTTGGAGAGTGAGTAGAAGGTAAGTATGGAAAGAAAAGTCTTCTATTTCAATAAAGGGCACACATGATGCAAATACATATTAACATCTACACAGAAATGAGTTGGCTAGGGTGGTAATGTGGAATGTTCAGGGAACTTACAATAGGATGTTACGAAAGATCATTTTTGAGCTAGATTTAAATGAAAGGGAATTGTTTTAGATGTACACAATAGAGGCAGTACGGTGTGGTAGTTGAGTGCTGGTTCTTGAAGAACAGATTTGTGTTCAAAGACTGGCTCTACCACTAACTAGGTGTATGTACTTAGGCAAGAAACCTTCCTAAGACTTAGGTTCCTAAATTGCAAAATATAGTTCCTGCCTTACAAATCTCTTGTGAGGATAATTCATGTTTGTGATGTTAAATATGGTGTTTGATATAGATACATAAGAATTTAATTAATGTTGTCAGTAGGAATTGCAGACCTGGAGTATATATGAGTGGAGTGTGTATGTTGGGAGAAACTGCTGAGAAAGGAAACAGGAGATGTGGTAGAGTCTCATTGTAAAATCCATTCCTATTTTTGGAATTCCTCAAACAGGGCTTTTTCCTTCAACATTTTAGTTCGTGGATGATTTCATATGAACTTCCATTTTCCTGTGAAGCAGACAAATTGGTGGCCAACCCCATCTAAGGCAGCTCTATATTAGAGACATTGTCTGAGGTAGAACAAGGACAGGGAGCAGGTCAAGTTGTAAAGATATGACTTTTAGTGCAGAGATCTTCATCTGGGTCCAGGGCAGGAGATCATAGATCCTTCTACTGACCCTATGACTGTTCTGAGTAGGAAGCAGAGCCATTTGCTAGAAGCCTACTTTGACTAATATAAATCTATTAGTCTTTTCTTTCTTTTCCATTCGAAGATTATTTCTTTCTATCATACATATTTGCATATGTTTCTTATGGTATTAAGCAGATTTTCTTTAAAACTATCAGGAAACTTTCTGAAGGCAGCCACTTCTTGCTCCCAGTATCCCACCTCATTCTCCTCACCTCCCCCTTCTGTCTCCTTTCCACCTGTGCCTCCAGCTGGCCTACTAAACTATTTGCCAGAGGCATCATTTCCTCATTCTTTCAGTTCCCCTCCTTCCAGATTGAGAAATTCTGGACTTGCTCTGGATTTGTTTTTCTACAGTCTCAGGGTTTTGTTTTTTATCTTTTTCTTTTTTATCAGGCACCCCAGTCCTGGGTTTGCATGGCTTTGTGGTCGGCCTATGGATCACTGATTAACCAGGCTGATGCCAGCAGGTCCCTCAGATCCCAAGGAATAGACTAGGCGGTATTTTTACCCGCACGCTGAGACTCCTCATAATTGCATCAGTGCTGTACACACCTATGGAAAATACTAGTAGACTGTCGGGCTTGGGGTTAATTGGTTTCAGCTCACACCTTAGGGGAGCAGAGTCCTAGCACACATGCTAGCCTGGTACAAGTGCCCAGACTGGCTTCACACTAAGGGGAGTGGCATCCTGAAGGAACGCAATTCCTTTTCCTCCACCCCTTTCGTCCACTGGCACTCACAGGCCGGCCTCCAGCTCCTGCCAAACGGATCAAAGATGTAATCTTAGAATAAAAGTTTTCTTTCTTTAATATCCAGGAGTGGCCGATATATGATGCTTCCCTTTTCATGGCAGGTCAAAGGTGAAATTTGATCAGGCTTTGAAGGTGTGGCTTGCCTCTTGAAACTCGCCGCGGTTGTCTTTACCAATGTGGTGTTGCTCAGGGCAGCCCAAAGTGCCCTTATCTAACCAAGGGAGGCGCACTTGTCTGCATATATAGAGGCAGGAGCCGACACTGGGAAGTCAAATCCAGTCGGTCCAATGAAGAAGCGACCTAAGATGGAGGAAGCTCCACACTGTGAGCTCAGTAAGTAGCCAGCAACTATACAAAAGCCCAAGGAGATTGCTCAGCTGAGCAGACCTGGAAGGGTGACAAGAATGGCTCCAGCCATTTTACTTTCTAGTTGCAGCAGAGGTTCCCAAAGGAAGGGTTCTGGTCTGGAGGGACTTCATCAAGTCTTGCTGAAACTACCCAGGTGTTTTGTTGAGAGATTGTCAGAACTAATTATTGTGTGTGTTTTTTTTCTCTCCAGGAGAAATTCTGTATGGAAACCAGCCTGTATCAGATAACTGACGATGCTCGGCCCACTTTTTTTGTCCCTGAGTTTTTTACTTTGTACTTGATTTGGATTTTTCTTTTTGCAGTTCACTCTCCTATCATCCTCTCTTGGACTCTTTTTGCTATCTAATAAAATTTTCTCCTAGCAGTTTTTACATGAAGAAAGAAGTTGGAGGGGTTGATGCTTTTCCTTTCTAGGTCTACAATTTGGTCAAATAAGCTCGGTTATCTTTAATGTAAGCTGTAGGGGGCTGTCTAAGAATGTTTCTGGATGCTCTAAAGGACATTGTAGAAAGTGAGGGTGGCTTGTCAGACCATTTTTCTTCCCTCTAAAGCGCTACTAGTCTGGCCATTATCTTCAGGGAAAGACTGGCGCGTGAGGTTGAGGCTGGGGCTGGAGCGGGTTTGCTTTTAGGTAGATAGAGATAAAGCCTGGGGCAAGAAGCGAGACAGACAGGTAGGATGGCAGTAGGGCACCCGATGCGGTAGCACTGGCCGCACTAGCTGATGTTCCGCGGTTCCTCCCAGGTGTGGCTTGCTTTTGGTGAGGCTGCAGATACTATGATGTGACTCCAGGGACGAGAGGAGACGGTCCTGCCGGGTTGGCTAAACTTTATATAGTGGAGCCGTACCTCGTAGAGCAATGTCTACAGAAAAAAAGGGGCTCGACTGCCAGTATCTAATGTGAGGCAGCGGCTAACTACGGTAGGAAATTTAAGTGTCCCGGGAGCGCCCCCGCCGTGGGAACTTCCGAATCCGCACTCCGCGAGTAGGACCCACGCAAGCCAAAGGCTCCACTGGAGGCACCTCCCGCCGAGGCCGCTGTGGCCCCGCCTCCAGCCTGACCCGGGGGCGGGCGGAGCCTCGGGACGCCGTCAGCTGGCCACGCGCGCCCGCAGCTACGGGGAATACGAGGAATCCAGCCAATAGGAATGTGCAACTGCCGTCCTGTTGGCCAATCGCGGGGCGTGTGGGGGTTGGCCCGCTTGGCTCTAGCTCCGGGGATATGGAGCTGCCAGCGCGAGGGCATCTTGTCAGGTGGTTGCGGAGCGGGTAAGGCGGCGGGCAGGCAAGGTTAGGGGTCACGCGAACGCGCCGCTTTCCCTAGGCGGGCCGGGAGGGCGCAGGGCGGCTAGAGGGTGGGCGAGGGAGCAGGCGCCGGGGCCAGTATGGGGTGCGCGGGGCGTCGTGCGGAACAGCGAGGGGCGGTGCGGGCCGGGAGGGCCTAAGGCGCGGGGGGCCAGACGGAGCCGCATTCTTCGAAGGAAGACGGAGAGCGGGGGTGGGGGGCGCGGGAAGCGGACGCCTGAGGTTGTGGGGGCCTCGTCCCTTCCCCGCCGAGGCCTGGGAGAAATGGCCGAACGCCCGGTTGGACCTGCCGCCGCGCCGGAACCCGTGACCGAGGGTGCGCTAACCCGCTTCACGCCGCGGAGGAGGCGACGGGCACAGGGCAAGGTCCCGGCACCCTCCTCCTTATCTGCAGAGCTCTGGGCCCGCGCCCGCTCCCTGGGCCTCCCGCCGCACCTCTCCAACAATAAAGTTCACTTTAGTGCAGCCGACATCCGTGGAGCGCTTTCCAGTGCAGGGCCTGGGGAGGCCGCTGAGTACTCGTGTGTGGATTGGTTTTAGGGCTGTTTGTGCGCCTGCCAGGCTCCAGGTACTATTACAGGGGGCACTGTAGCACAGGGTGTGTAAGTGGGGTGGATGCTGTCCGACTGTTGGGTTTCCTGTATCCCTACTTTTAAAGCTGTCGCTTGTATTTTGATATTCCGTCTTTGGATTCCTTTCCACTTTTGATTCCCCCCAAGACCCCACTTCATGTATCCGAGGATTTCAAAGAGCTTCCTTAAGGGAGAAGTTGAGAAACTTGGGCTCAAGTTTTCCTATGCATAAAATGAACATATTTTCATATTGTCTATTGCCTTCAGAGGAGTGCTGTGAAGTTAAAGGAACGTGGCATATCTTTAAAGTGGAAAACAAAAGGAAAATTTTGTGGAAGGAGAGGCAAGGGCAGATAGGCTTCCAGAAACTTTTGCTGGCCATTAATTTTAGTGAATATTGGTGAAACCGGGGGCACTGTTTACCTTGACTCCTGTGAAATCGAAGGCCTACCAGTTTGCACCACTTCTTGGCTGTGTAACCCTTTGAGCAAGTTGCTTAGCCTCTTGGTTCTTTTGTTTCCAGGGACTTAAAATGGGGATTGATAATATCAGACTTACAGGGTTGTTGGTGAGTATAAAGTAACAATACACATAAGGTGTTTAGAACAGTTATTGGCCTGTAGGAGTTTGTATTGCTTATCTGTGCCTTCCTTCCCCTAAAGATTCCTAACTGAAGAATTCTGACATTACTACTTATTTAATTTTTGCTCAGAATCCGGAGCCTATTGTGAAAGAACCCTTAGGGCCTTGTTTTCCATCTACGGCAGTAATGTTGACCTGAAGGTATAGTATAATTCCACATGATTAGAGGCTTTCTACTGGGTGTTTATTTTTACCATTAAATAAGGTTGGAAACTATCTCTATACTAGGTATGCCTGTGATAGCTGTGTTGGGTAATGAAACCTCAGAACTTCTTTGTTTAGTTTTTCATCAGAAAATACTTCATTTACAGTCTTAGGCTAGGCACAGTTTGTTTTGGATCCAATACCAAAAAGGCCACGATTGCAGCATACTTGGTTTCTCATGTTTCCGGGATGGCTGTGGGACTCGGGAGGGGAATTTCTGGGCAGCCTGGCAGCACTTCTTGTTAGTGAATGGGGAAGCTTGGTATGAATCTAATCTTTACTGTTAGGATCTCAGCAGTGGTTCCTTGGATTACTCTATAGGGCAACTACTAAGCAGCTTTATTTCAGTTTTGACTCAGGGAAGTGAGGGTTAGAGGTCAGAGAATGGATCCATAAAGTAGCATCTTTTGAGTGGGTGCTGTGGAGTCAGACATCTTTATTCCTTGCCTTCTCTTCATATACACAAATACAAATGTCTGCTGACAGATATATACCCTTTCTATGAGCTTAAAAGTCTCAAGTTTTCTTGTTATCTGGAAGGCACTACTGGAAGACTTCTGTCTTCTGATTCTTCCCTTCCATGAAAGCTGCTGTTTATACACATAGCATAATCACAAAATGAGAAACTCTGAATTTATGAAAAAGAGCATCGCTTACTGCAGCAGTATGCTGGCCCGATTTGGGTGAAGTATGGATGCTTTAAGTTCACTTATTTAGCTTTGGAATGAGATAGTTTAGTAGTTCCATAGGGTTGAAAGTTGGATGTTGGGTTTGTTGAGAGTACAGTGTCTTCTTGGAATCTCTTTACTTGTGCCTGAATAAAGAGGAAGGGGAGTGACATCTTCAAAGAGTTGAGTGTTTGAGGCAAAAGGGAAGCATTTTGCCCTAGTATTGTTGTCATCTTTGTCATCTGAGTCTCTGGTTTGAATAAAATATTTTGGAAAAGAAGGCAGGGAGCATTTGGATGTGCAGAATATAAGAATTTGGAAAACATTGACTCTTGTTGTCTCACTCATCAGATGACATTTATTCTTTTGATAATTTAACAAACATATATGGAACAATTAACATTTATTGGCCCGTGGAGACACAAAGAACAGCCCTTCAGCTATCATCAGGAATATCATGGATAAAATGCAACATTGTTTGTATTATAAACTATAATAACATCAGAATGGAATATTAAAACATTTGGCTGGGAATGATAAAAATACATTTATTGTCTAATTCCTCTTCCACTTTTAAGTCTAGAATAACTTACATTTTTTTTAATGTAAGGATCAAAGTTTCCAGTAAAAACTTAAATTTGGGAAGTTAGGGTCTTTTCTTTGTGCTTATTGCTAGTAGGTCGTCTTGGATGGGTTATTTTTGTTTGTTTTGGTCCCATTTATCACTAATGATCAAGTGTCTGTTAAAACTCCTAGGTAATGAAAGGAGAAGACTACAAGTTAATTATTAAGATTTTAACAGGCTCCAGGGGCGCCTGGGTGGCTCAGTTGGTTGGGCGACTGCCTTCGGCTCAGGTCATGATCCTGGAGTCCCAGGATCGAGTCCCGCATCGGGCTCCC